TTGTCCCCCCTAGTGCTATGGGTCAGTGAGGGACATCATGTCTTGTGGGATTGGCCCTATGGTCCTCTCTGCATTGGCTGCTCTGAGCAGGAATGTTGTCCTCGGGGCTTGGTGGGCCAGGATGTGTTCCACTCTCCTTCCCTCTTCCTTTGCTCAAGTGCTTTGATCAGACGTGCCCCTCTCCCTGAGCTTTAGCTTCAGTACTGTCCTCTGAAGTGAATTCTTCTGGGGAGTCTTAAATATTTCTTCATTGCGAAGTAAATGAAAGTTTACAGAACAGATCATAGTATTGCATTCAGTAATTTATGCAAATTTTTACTCAGTTTATTTATTGCAATCCCCTTGAATACACCGTCAAATATCCCGTGTTTCTTGTTTTCTCTTAACCCTCTGCACTTTTTTCCTGGTAAGTGCTGCCCTTTTCATCTGAAATAGCTTATTATTTCTAATGCAGAAGTGATTTTTGGTTACACACTTGAGGAGTTGCAGTCTGGATGTCCTACCATTTTCTGTCTGACCAGCAAGCCTGGTCTCTCAGAATATTTGACCTCTGTTCCACATTTTTCTCCCACACTACACAGGGCTTTTTAGTGCAGGTTTTGTTTTTGTTTTTCCATAGTGCTTGGTACTGGTATCCAAGCACTGTCTAGTTCTCGTCTCAGGACTAGGAGACTGGTGTTTGTGTGTTCCGTTAGTCCATTGGATTCATTTTTTCCATGTGTCTTGATTTTTGGTACTCTTCTCTTGATGGGGAGACAACATTTAAATTATATTTGTACTTGAAGCCATAACATTTCTGAGAGAAGACTACTCTGAATGGCATACTGCATTCCTCATTTAACAGCATGGTGATTTTATATGTAATGTTCTATGTGAATATGCACATGTCTAGCTTTCTGTAGCATAACAGCAGTCTATGTTTAAGGTTATATAGGAAACAGCTCTATGAAACTCATCATGTTTACTATAAGTAAAACTAGTGTTACTAAGAATGCTGTTTCTCAAGTTATCTGAGCTTAGTGTCCCCATCTGGGGAGCATGTGTTCATTACCATGCAATCAGCTTTACTCATGATAGCCCTATACATTTAGTATAGAATGAGATGCCACTTGATCTGACATCTATTGTTTGTATTCATTTTTGTGGCCACTCTATCAGTCTTCTTCATTGAGAGCCTCATCTTCATCAAACATGTCTTTCCTCAATTTTTCCTGATGATAAGTTTAAAGCAACAATATTCTGTTGTGATTTAGTTAGGTTTTCATTTACTAATTTTCAAGTGTTTCTTCCTAGGTCACAGTTTGGAAGCTCTGCTAAAATCTCTTTACAATAGGTGAACCTACTGGTATTTGAAATTCCACCTAAGAGTTGGTAGCCAGGCAGACTGATTAGATCATCTTTTGCTCTTAACGTTGTTAAAATACTTACATCTGATTTTGGACCAAATGTACCGTATATACCCGATTTTCAGCGGACGTACCTAATTTTACCACAAAAACTGCATTAAAAATGTGCTCGGCCTATATACAAGTATATACATATGCCCTTTGAAGATTATAGAATGCAACAACCTTCAGTTGCTCTTTTACTTACTC